GGTGCCAGACAATATAATCAATTAAATAAAAATCAAAAAGAAATAACTGATTTAATATTAAACAGATTAGATAATAACCATGGTAACCATAATAACGATTGTTTTTATATTGATGGCCCAGGTGGATCCGGTAAAACGTTTATATACACAACTATTTATTACTTAGCCAAAATTCGAAATAAACATGTATGTACAATGGCTTTTACGGGTATTGCAGCGACGTTATTACCTGCGGGAAAAACGGTTCATAAGACTTTTGGATTACCAGTTCCATTATTTGCTGATTCATCATCCAACATTAAAATCCAATCAAAAGAAGCTCAATATTTGAAAGAAACAGATATTTTTATTTGGGATGAAGCGCCAATGGCACCACGATATGCTTTAGAGATTATGGATCGAACGTTGCGTGATATTATGAATAACGACTTACCTTTTGGTGGAAAAATTATCATATTAGGTGGTGATTTCAGGCAACTTCTTCCTATTAAGATACATGGTACTCGATGTGAAATAGTGAATCTTTCTATTAAATTTAGTTCTACTTGGAAACATTTTGTAAATTTTTCTTTAACGGAAAACGTGCGAGTTCTTCCAAAGGAAACTGAATTTGCAAAATTTTTATTGGATATGGGAGACGGCATATTAAATGATTCTAACGATAATATACAACTTCCAGATTGTTGTATTGCACCCATTAATGCCGATATTATAGAAGATATATATGGGGATCTAATACGAAATAAAGAATATAATAAAATGGCTAAGTGTGCGATACTTTCTGCAAGAAATGCTGATGTAGACGAAATTAATAAACGAGTTGTTGAATTATTAGATATATCTGAGGAACGGATTTATACAAGTACAGATAGTACTGAAAATTCCGGTAATAACGATGACATTGATGAAGTTTTATTACCAGAATATTTAAATACTTTGTCTCCATCATCTCTTCCTCCTTACGAATTGCGTTTAAGACCAAATTGTATCATTATGCTAATTAGAAATCTTAATATCAATGAAGGTCTTTGCAATGGTACTAGATTAATGATCATAGAACTTGCAGATCATTTATTGAAATGCAAAATATTAACGGGTGATAAAGTAGGAGATATCGTTTTCTTAAA